AAATTTTTAGATCATTTAAAAGCAGACACCACAAGAGGAAGACAAGCATATGAAGTTGTCTATTTTAAGCACCTGGAGATACACTGATGTTTTTTAATTCTTGGAAATGAAAAGCCCATGTAAGATGGGAAAGGAGGAAGGAAACACCAATAAGTTTGCTGTAAATAAATGTACATCATAAGTGATTTGTAACAGATACAATTTATGAACTTTCATTAATTCTCGGACCAATCATCATTTTAGTACGTTATGCCAATAAAATCTAGAATTTTACTTACCTTGAAGAGGTCCAAAGGTGCATTTCATAACAGGCAGGGCCAAGTTCCTTAGCACATTTGAAGGCTCCTCATCTTGAGTATTAGGAGCTTAAAGAGCAAGAAAGACCAGTTCACAGCATTGTGCGTTCTGATACAGGCTACATTTTGAGGAAGCAAGTTACCAATCACTAGAGAATTTTTATCAGACGTCATGTTAATGATTGTCAGGTATGCCAAGAAATTTATGCATCAAGTGAAAGGATAGACCCTAAAATTTCTGAACTGTCTTCTAATTACCCTGCAAGATGACCTCAAACACAGTCTGTCAGAACAGAAAGGTACCTTAGAGGAGTGAGGGCCATTTGACCTCACTGCTTTTATTCCAACTATTTATAATATAAACAGTTAATCATAATCATAGAGTGAATATTGAAAAGTTTTTATCTTGAAGTTTATTTTTACAGAGTAAATCCTATTGGGACATTTGAATACCTTGATAAATTTTCTTCGATGGCATTAAATAATTTCCAAGTTTTTGTATTTTCTTCTTTTTTTAAATTGAGGTATAATTGACATAAAACATTATATTAGTCTCATGTATAAAATAATGATTCAATGTGTGTATACATTGCAAAATGATCACTACAATAAATATAATTAAAATCTGTCACCATACAGATGAGTACTTTTAAGATCTACTCTTTTAGCAAATTTCACATGCAGTACAGTATTATTAACTATAAACCCCATGCTGTACATGACATCCCTGTGTTCATTGTTTTAACAGAAATGATTTTCAATGGGGCTCTCTCCTCATGAGAATTGCAGGGGTCTGAGGTCTGCAAGCCACTATGATCAGGCTGCAATGGGTGACTCAGATTTATTTTCATATAACTTAAAAGGAGGTGAGAAAATTCTCAGATTATGTGCCACACCCTCCTCATGCTATATCCTCTTCCTTCTGGTGCTGATAGAAAGAAGGGGGCTGGAATGGCAAGTGTAGACAAGTAGAGGAGGGAGAGAGGTGAGGGGCTGGGGGCAGTGGTGAGAAGGTTGATGACACCATTCATTTCTGAATGTCTTTTTTTTTTGATGTTTAATTTTTTTTATTAAGGTGTCATTGATATATACTCTTATGAAGGTTTCACAAAAAAACAATGTGGTTAGTACATTCACCCTTAGTATTGAGTCCCCCCCATACCCCATTGCAGTCACTGTCCATCAGTATAGTAAGATGCCACAGAGTCCCTACTTGTCTTCTCTGTGCTACACTGTATTCTCCATGAGCTCCCATACCATGTGTACTAATCATAATACCCTCAATCCAGGGTTTGGACCCTGAACCCTTCTCCCTCCCTCCCCACCTGTGCTCCCCAACCCCTCCCATTTGGTAACCACTAGTCCCTTCTTGGAGTCTGTGAGTCTGCTGCTGTTTTGTTCCTTCAGTTTTGCTTCGTTGTTATACTCCACAAATGAGGGAAATCATTTGGTATTTGTCTTTCTCTGCCTGACTTATTTCACTGAGTGTAATACCCTCTAGCTCCATCTATGTTGTTGCAAATGGTAGGATTTGTTTCTTTCTTATGGCTGAATAGTATTCCATTGTGTATATGTACCATCTCTTCTTTATCCATTCATCTACTGATGGACCCTTGGGTTGCTTCTATATCTTGGCTATTGTAAATAGTGCTGCAATAAACATAGGGGTGTATTTGTCTTTTTGAATCTGAGAAGTTGTTTTCTTTGGGTAAATTCCTAGGAGTGGAATTCCCCGGACAAATGGTATTTCCATTTTTAGTTTTTTGAGGAACCTCCATATTGCTTTCCACAATTGTTGAACTTGTTTACATTCCCACCAGCAGTGTAGGAGGGTTCCCCTTTCTCCACATCCTCGCCAGCATTTGTTGTTCCTACTCTTTTCGATGTTGGCCATCCTAANCTGAGGTTAGACATGCCTTACCTGCCTTGATAGGAATTTGGCAGGGATGGAATATGTGACCCAGCCTGGGCCAGTCGGTGTTATTACATTCCCCTGATCACAGGGATCGCTTCAGAGGTGTGCACCTGAACTAAGCAGATCCAAATGAGAGGGAATCTCAAGATGTATGCTAAAGAGACTGACTTTTGAGTATGGGGATAGACAATAATCCAATTTCATTCTCTTGCACGTAGCTGTCCAGTTTTGCCAGCATCAGTTGTTGAAGAGGCTGTCATTTCCCCATTATATGTCCATGGCTCCTTTATCGTATATTAATTGACCACATATGCTTGGGTTTATATCTGGGCTCTGTAGTCTGTTCCATTGGTCTATGGGTCTGTTCTTGTGCCAGTACCAAATTGTCTTGATTACTGTGGCTTTGTAGTAGAGCTTGAAGTTGGGGAGTGTAATCCCCCTGCTTTATTCTTCCTTCTCAGGATTGCTTTGGCTGTTCAGGGTCTTTTTTGGTTCCATATGGATTTTAGAACTATTTTCTCTAGTTCATTAAAGAATACTGTTGGTATTTTGATAGGGATTGCATTGAATCTGTAGATTGCTTTAGGCAGGATGGCCATTTTGACAATATTAATTCTTCCTATCCATGAGCATGGAATGTGTTTCCATTTATTGGGATCTTCTCTAATTTCTTTCATGAGTGTCTTGTAGTTTTCAGAGTATAAGTCTTTCATTTCCTTGGTTAGGTTTATTCCTAGGTATTTTATTCTTTTTGATGCAACTGTGAATGGAGTTGTTTTCCTGATTTCTCTCTCTGCTTGTTCATCATTAGTGTATAGAAATGCAACAGATTTCTGTGTATTAATTTTGTATTCTGCAACTTTGCTGAATTCAGATATTAGATCTAGTTATTTTGGAGTGGATTCTTTAGGGTTTTTTATGCACAATATCATGTCATCTGCAAACAGGGACAGCTTAACTTCTTCCTTGCCAATCTGGATGCCTTTTATTTCTTTGTGTTGTCTTATTGCCCTGTCTAGAACCTCCAGAACTATGTTGAATAAAAGTAGAGAGAGTGGGCATCCTTGTCTTGTTCCCAATCTTAAAGGAAAAGCTTTCAGCTTCTTTCTGTTAAGTATGATGTTGGCTGTGGGTTTGTCATATATGGCCTTTATTATATTGAGGTGCTTGCTCTTTATACCTATTTTGTTGAGAGTTTTTATCGTGAAGGGATGTTGAATTTTTTTGAATGGTTTTTCAGCATCTATGGAGATGATCATGTGGTTTTTCTCCTTCTTTTTGTTAATGTGGTGGATGATGTTGATGGATTTTTGAATGTTGTACCAACTTTGCATCCCTGGAATAAATCCTACTTGATCATGATGCATAATCTTTTTGATGTATTTTTGAATTTGATTTGCTAATATTTTGTTGAGTATTTTTTCATCTATGTTCATCAGGGATATTGGTCTGCAATTTTCTTTTTTTTGTGGTGTCTTTGCCTGGTTTTGGTATTAGAGTGATGCTGGCCTCATAGAATGAGTTTGGGAGTATTCCCTCCTCTTCTACTTTTTGGAAAATTTTAAGGAGGATGGATATTAAGTCTTCACTAAACATTTGATAAAATTCATCAGTGAAACCATCTGGTCCAGAAGTTTTTTTCTTAGGTAGTTGTTTGATTACCAATTCAGTTTCATTGCTGGTACTTGGTCTATTCAGATTTTCTGTGTCTTCCTGAGTCAGCCTTGCAAGGTTGTATTTTTCTAGAAAGTTTTCCATTTGTTCTAGGTTATCCATTTATACTCTCTCATAATTCTTTGTATTTGTGGTGTTCGTAGTGATTTTTCCTTTCTCATTTCTGATTCTGTTTATGCGTGTAGACTCTCTTTTTTTCTTGATAAGTCTGGCTAGGGGTTTATCTATTTTGCTTATTTTCTAGAAGAACCAGCTCCTGCTTTCATTGATTCATTCTATTGTTTTATTCTTCTTGATTTTATTTATTTCTGCTCTAATCTTTATTTTGTCCCTCCTTCTACTGACTTTGGGCCTCATTTGTTCTACTTTTTCTAGTTTCATTAATTGTGAGTTTAGACTGTTCATATGGGATTGTTCTTCTTTCCTGAGGTAGGCCTGTATTGCAATACTCTTCTGTCTTAGCACAGCCTTCTCTGCGTCCCACAGATTTTGCATTGTTGAATTATTCTTGTCATTTGTCTCCATATATTGCTTATCTCTGTTTTTCTTTGGTCATTGATCCATTGTCCAAATGTCTTTTTGGAGGTAGAGGTTTCCTGAGGACAAGCTCTGTCCTCCTGCTCTGTCAGTGAGCATTTGGGATTGCGGTTAGGGCAGAGGACATGGGAGGAGAAAAGGAGACCCTCAGAGGTCTCAGGGTCTTAGGTAAGGCAGGCATCAATCCACAGTTCTGAGCTGGGGCCTGATAAGCAGGGTTTCAAGAGAGCTTGAGTTGAAACCTTGGGCCCCTCCCCCACTCAACTGACCCCCAGGACTATTCCATGGCAGTTAGGGGCCCTATCTTGCTGAATAGGTTGTTCTTTACCAGACCCTAGGTCCTATGGTGGCAAGTGCTTTACCTGATGAAAATAGTTTGAATGATGAGGGGCACTTGAGCCTGAGCAGGGATGGGGGAGATTTGGTAAAGGATAGAAGGGGAGACAGGAGCTGCTCAAGATGGGGACAGGAGACGTTAGGGGTGAGTTCCTTGTGTCAGGAGGAGACAGGGATGAGCATCAGAGGCCTGAAAAGGATGGGAGGGCTGGGTGAAGGTGAGCCCAGGATGAGAGGCAGGGATGTGGAACTTGGGATCTGAGCCTGGCAGTGACAGGCAGCTGCCCCAGAAACACTGCCCAAAGCCGCTCAGGGGCTCGGTGTTGCCCTTGTGGTGGAAAATTATACACAGGTCCCGCTGGAAGGTGCAGGTGTTGGCCTCAGAGCTCAGCCTGGTTGCCTTCATCCTGCTGCTGGTCATGGTCTTCTCCAAGAGTTGGCTGTGCCTCTCCAGGAGCTGTTTCTACCAGCGCTGGCCTGCAGACATTAGCTCCAGGATCTACACGTCATCTCACATCATGTCCATGGGGCTCCTGCACTACTGCAATCTGAAGAGCCACTCCCACCCAGAGAATGGGAAAGGTGAGGCTCTCCACCCACTCCTACCACAGGGCATCAGCCTGCCTAGGCCTCCACATCTGCACCCCTCCCTCTGCCACTTTGGGCCCCACCAGATGGCTTCTTGGCCCTAAGATCACCAAGGATCAATTTTCCTCCCCCACATTTTGATTTGCCTGACCCAGTGGAAAGTGGCACTGCTTTTGATGAGGCTTGGAGCCCAGTCTGTGCTTACAAAAATGTTCCAAAAGCCGTGGACTTTCAGCATGTGAATTACTCATGAATCACCCAACTCACCATCACATTGGGAGAAGAGCCCCAGCAAGGGAGGGACTGCCTTCTTGCAGGCTTGCATATCCAGAGCTTCGGGAGGAGTCCCCAGAAAGCTCTCCCTCAGGCCCTGGGCCCAGCCACTTTTCTCCCTTTCTGCTTTAGGCTTTGCCTTCTGGGCCACATCTATTTTCCTTTCTCCTTCCTTCCCAGTGCTCTTGAGGCCACTTCATTCCTAGTTTTAGTTCATCTCAAGGCATCGTCTCCTGGGTTTGGGCCTCCTTCCTCAGCTCTTGGGGAAAACCAGAGTTCTTGACTCTATTTCCATTTCATCACTCTAGTGAAGGTTAAAAACAAGTTACACAGTAATTATCTTTTTCCATCATGACAACAATATGTTTTATTACAATAAATTTGGGGAAACCAAAGCTATCATGTATTGCCCACTTATTCTATTTGCTCACTTACTCTTCAATCAACCCTAAGAGACAGGGATAATTACCCTTGCTTCACAGATGAGAAAACCAAGACTCTAATTAAGTACCTTGCTCAGGGTCATGAAATTATTAGGTTGAATCACATGAAATGGCCAATATTAGACTACTTTTCACCTATGAAAGGAGCAAATGCATATGGATCAACCTAATAATGGCAGGTTTAAAATAACTCAGTTGTGTCTCAGTCCAAAACTCATGGAAGCACCCATCTTGCTCTGTGCTGCTACTCAAAGACTGTCCACTAGTAGTAGTTGAGTACTCAATCTTTTTCAGTCCTTTTTTTAAATTGAACAAGTTTTGAATAGTTTTTACATAATTGTATTTATGCTTCATAAATAATTTTTTCTTAAATTATTGTCATTGTAAGATTACTTAAAATGTCATTATGAGATATAATACAATTTGCTATATTCTAAATTAACAGATTTATCACATTTTACTTGACTCTTTTTCTTCCTTGTTCTTGGCACTTTTATCTCCAATTTCATATTTGAGAAAAAAAGAGCAACAAAGTTTAATCATGAAGTTTTTTCTGTGTTTAATATTAATTCTTTGGCATGGATGTCCCAAAGCAGGTTTACTGGATCAAAGAGCATAAATATTTTAAGGCTCTTAATAAAATTTTCCATGTTGCTTTCAAAAAGTATGATAGCAGAACCTTCCTACACTGTTGGTGGGAATGCAAACTGGTACAACCACTGTGGAAAGCAGTATGGTGATTACTCAAAAAACTAAAAATAGAAATACCATATGACCCAGTAATTCTACTTCTAGGAATTTACCCAAAGAAAACAAACTTTCTGATTTGAAAAGCTATATGCACCCCTATGTTTACTGTTACATTATTTACAATAGCCAAGATATGAAAGCAACCAAAATGCCCATCAATAGATGGATGGATAAAGAAGATGTGGTACATATATAATGGAATATTATTCAGCCACAAAAAAGAAAGAAATCTTGCCATTTACAACAACATGGATGGATCTAGAAGGTATTATGCTCGTGAAATAAGCCAGGTGGAACAAGACAAATACCATATGATTTCACTTACATGTAGAATTTAAAAACAAAACAAAACAAAACAAATGAACAAACAATAGTAGACTCAGAGACACTGAGAAGTGGCTGGTGGTTATCATGTGGGAGGGATTTGGGTGGGTGGGTGAAATAGCTGAAGGGGATAAAGAGGAACAAAAATTTTTAAAAAGTATGAAAGCAATTTATGCTTCCACTAATGACTTGTTTCATTGTACCTTTGCCAGCAGTGACTGTGAACTTTAAATATATAAATACATACTCTTTCCTGATTCAAAAAATGTTGCACATTTATTGTGGGACATGCAGGAAATTTAAGAAAGGAAATAAAAATCACCTAAAATTTCTGTACATATAGTCACAGTTGACATTGTAATGGATTTACTTCATTTTTTGTGTGTGGGTGTGTATGCATATGTATATAAGCATATACTAATATGTATACATGTGTAAAAATATAATACAAATAAATATATATCTATTTGTATTTTAATAAATATATATTTATTTTTACTTTTTTCAAAATTACAATCTTTCTTTGTACTGTGTTGAAACTCCACTTTTCAATTGTAAACATTTACTTACCTTATTAAATAATTATTCTACAACATCACTAATGTTTAAAATTTATTTGATTAGGCAGTTTGTGAACAGAATGAAAATTAAAAAAACACAAAAGATTATGTAGTGAAATGAGCCTCCCACCTCTGGCTTCCAAACTTGCTTCACAGTTTCTCATTTCTTCCTAGAGACATTCTATTTGGAGACAAGCATCTTTCATATCACTTTTAATGAACACATAACAATCCAGTGTATGGGATTTAACAGGTCTCTTGTTGGACATATAAATATCTTTGCAAAGAAGATCCCTGTACATAGAATTTGTTGCAGATCTTGGATTATGCCCTTGCATAAACTCCAAGAAGAAGCATTGCTGGGTCAAAGCACTGCCTTAGATTTTTTGGACTATTTTGTGCCAGATCAGTCATCAGAAATGCTGTCCACTAGCAGTGCGTGAAAACAGCTCTTTTCTCTGAATCGTTCCCTACATTAGGTACCATCAATTTTGTTTTGATCTTGGCTATTTGATAGATTTTTAAAAACTACATTTAATTTGCAGTTCTTTGTATTGAATTTCATGTGTTTATTGGACGGACACTCATATTTCTTTTGAGAACTACCGTTCAACTCCTCCGTCCACTTTTCTGTCGGAGGTATTCATTTTTTGGGGGGATTATCAAACAGCCTCCATATGAAGCATCTTTGTCTGTTTAATAAGTGAAAGTGATCTTTTATTGTTACTTCAAATCTTAATTTCTTTGGTTATTACTGGGCCAGGACATTTTCTTGTATTTGCTCATTTGACTGTATTTTCTCTTTTGTGAATCCTTAGCTCATCTTGTTTTCTCATTTTCTCCAGACAGTTTTAAGCTGTGGACAAATCACCCGTTCTTTGTGGTGGCTCAGATAACCTTTTGAGTGGCCTTGGGGCTGGGCTTGGTTTTCACCATCTGGCTGCACCTGCTGTACCTCCTGTAGCTGCGTTGGGACTGTCATGAGCTTCTGCGAAGGTGCCCCCTAGCTCTGGAAAAGGTCCTTAGTTTCTCCTAGCCTGGATCTTCCCGGGCACTTCTCCCACTTCCTTTCTTTGGGAGTGGGGTAGGGGTTTTGTGGGTAGTGGGAGAACAGAACTGGTGGTAGTCGTTGCCTGAGAATTGAGTTCCATCATTTCCTGGTCACTGGAGAGATGGAGGTGGAGGGACTGATTCCCATGAACCTCTGGGGCTGGGTACTTAGGGTGCTGATGGGAGCTGTGGTTGTGGTGGTAGCTCAGTAGATAAGGGAGAGTCCCTATGGGGTTCTTGGGTGAGAATAAGATCTCTCCACTTCCTGTCTCCTAGTTATTGTTATTTTCTTCACCCTCATGTTGTTCCCTATTAACCTCTGGATATTCAAGTTGAAGAAGAACATGTCAGTCCCCATTGGCTGGAGCTATTTTGTTGGTTGGTTGGTGTTTGTCCTATGTGTCACCTGTGGTGAGTATCCTGGGGAGCCATGGGAAGGAGGGGACATGGGGGACTCAAGGCTGAGAAAGTTCGGAGGGAGTGGGCTGGCAATCCTCAGAGACAGGTTCTCAGGGACTTGCCTTTCCTTTGGCCTCACCCTGCCTGCCACTTTGCTCCCACTCTCTGATGTTCCCCTCTCACATCCCCTTGTCCTTTCCCAGGGCTCCTTTGTTACTTCAACCAGGAACATTTCTGGGGTCTGATTATAAGCCATCTCTCTCTGGAGCGTGTACTGCAGCTGTGCTTCAGTACAGGACTCTCTGAAGGAGCAGATTGTCTCAAAGACCTTTGTCGACCAAGAAGAAGACCTGGAATCTGAGCAAGAGAAGGCATCGCTGTAACCTCTTCTGAACTCCTGGCACCAAGTTGTGTCCATTCATCTGAATCCCTTTCCCCATACTTTCCCACAACCCTTGAGCCTGTTGACGCTCATCACTGTAAGGAATTAGAAAGGGAGGGTTTTAAGTTAGCTTTACATTCCTCTTCCTTGCCCCTGCCTTGCCCACAGCTTGGGAAAGTGCAATAAATTGTCTGTCTCTTCTTTATCATGTCCAGCAGTCATTGAGACAAGACAACAACTTGAAGGAGAGGAAGGAGAAAGAGCAAGTTTGTTCCCTAGTTCTTCCTGCTGAGAAGCCTTTTGGTGGCACCCTTTGTCCCCAGACCTGCCCAGCTCTCCCCTAAGAAACTTGGACACAGGCAAACACCTCTGGAAAGCTAAGCCTTTTTAAACTTTGTTACCCCTATCCCAACATTTGTTAGTTAGTAGGTAGGAGGACTGATCAGGAGAGAGATATCGCTTAAGAACCTGCTGGCTTATTCATAATGATTGATTCATGAGTGAAATGGCCCCAGGGTAAGAGCTGGGTTAAACAGTGAGGGACCAGTAGGAGGTGTGGCTGTGCTGCATGCCCTGGGCAGCAATCCCACACTCTATGCCCAACTCCCAGAGTGCTGTGCCTGTATACCACCAGCACCACCTCCAACTCTGCCTCTGCCACCACCTTCACCACCATAACCACCACCACCACCAACTTCACCAGCTCCACCCCAACCACCTCCACTCTCTGGCTGCTTCCTGCCATCCATCCAAGCCTCCCATGCCCTACACGCTTAGCAGGAATGAAATATTACAAGAAGGAAAACACTAGGGTCAGGCCCTAAGATCAAAAGACACGTCGCACATTTAGGTTATAAACCCAGTCTCATGAGTACATGCATCAGCTGTGTGGGCATCATTAGCGATGACTACTGGGATTCAGATGTCCCTGCACAGAAGGACTGGCCTCCCAGGAGAGTGCCTATGAATAATCTTTGTCATTTAATATCCCTCCAGAGAGAGCCATGATGTCTGCCAGCTGGAGGAATGCAGGGACAAGGTGGATTGGGCATGTTAAAAATGTATGTATTTTTATGTTGAACCACATGAAACTGCTGTCTGAGCAGTTAATGTTGACAACTTCGTATGGTTCAACCTAGTATGTATGACTGATTTCTATGTGGTTTGAGTTTGAGATTCTTATTCTTACTCTACCCGATCAGCAGTTGTGGGATTCCTAACCTAGTTCCAAGCAAATATTATGAGCAAAGAACCCAATACATGGACTTGAAAATTGGGCAGATTAGACCTTCTAAAAATCCCCACTCAGTGTTCCCCCTTGTACTCCTCCCCCCTGGTAGCTAGCAAGGATTTATTGGAAGATTTATTGAATTAGTCACCCTGAAGGAAGGGACATTAAACAAAGGGATGTCATGACCTCTGCCTTAGAAATATATATAACCTAATTGGAGAAAGTGGCTTTATGATTCTGTAGAAATCATAAACTCCAAAGTATAGAGGCCAGGCAGGTAGAGTAAATGAATAAAGGAGGCCATTCTTTCAGTCTATCTATAATTTTCCTCTTTTGACAAAGACAGTATATTATCTATTGATGGATAACAAAGTACCCCAAACTTAGCACCTTAAAATAATAAACATCATATTATATCACATAGTTTCTGGGGCCAGGAATATAGGAGCAGTTTAGCTGAATGGTTCCTGCTCAGGGTCTCTCATGAGGTTATAGCAAAGGTGTCAGCTGGGGCTGTACTCATTTTGAAGGCTTGACTGGGGTGGGAGGATGTACTTCCAATATGGTTCATTCACATAGCTGTTGACAGAAAGCCTCAGTTCCATGGCACAAGGGCCTCTTCATGGGCTGCTTGGGGGTTCAGCGCCAATGTCCTCCATAGTGAGTGATCTAACAGCAGTGAGAAGGAGGCTCCAGTGCCTTTTATGACATAGTCTTGGAAGAAATACACTGTCACTTCCACCACACTCAATATTTTGGAAGCAAGTCAATAAGTCTACCCCACACTCAAGAAAGGTGGAATTAAACTTCGCTTCTTCAGGGGAAGAGTGTAAAGAATTCATGGATGTATTTTAAAGCCACCATAGTCTGTTTTATGGTCACAAATTATTTACAGTCTTCCCACATGCAAAATACATTCATGTCCCCTAAGGTCCCCAAAAGTCTCATCCTGTTACAACATCAATCAACTGAAAATTCAGGATCTGTTTTGTAAATGGGGGAATTCGTCCCTCCTGTGAGGTCATTAAGAATATTTCAACAAAGCTGTGGAAATTATACTCAGAGAAGCATATGAAATTAGAGAATTTATTATACCCACAAGTCCTAGGAGAGGGAGGTATGGCATGCCATGCAAGGAGCCACATGGGAGGAATGCCCAGGGAGTGTGCTCAACCAAGCAGATGGGGAGCTGAGGAGGACCCATGGGCAAGTGCCATTTTTTGGGTCAGGGTGGAGTATACAACCAAAATGTGTGAGGTGTTTTCAATGGTGCATTTGAATATCACTAAGTCATAGGAGAGGGCATGAAGGGGAACTTGTAGCAGGAATCAGCCTTATCACACTGGTGCACCTGGGCACCCAGCAGGGTGCTTACAGACTGTTCGTAGGTATGTTGAGGCATCAGGAAAATAGGAAGCTCTAAAAATTTATAATATACTTGCCATCTATTATGAGCTGAATTGTGTCTTTCCCAAATGTATATATTAAAGCCCTGACACCCTGTACCTCAGAATGTAACTGTATTTGGAGATATGGTCTTCAAAGAGATGATTAAGTTAAGATGAGGCTGATAGGGTGTCATACAATCTGGTGTCCTTATGAGAAGAGACAATTAGGAGCACAAAGAGACACCAGGTATGTGCACGTACAGGGGAATGTGAGACAGTGGCCATCTGAAAGCCAAGTAGAGAGGTCTTAAAACCTATCTACATTTGATCTTGGACTTCTAGCCTCCAGAACTGTGAGAAAATAAATTCCTGTCATTTTAACTACCCAGTCTGTGGTACTTTGTGATGGCAGCCCTAGCAGACTAATACAATATCTAAATTAGGTCCAGGTGCAAATGAGGTTCTTGGGATGTAGTTCCTTAAATACAGCTACTTAAGTATAGTTTCTTGCAATCTGAATACCTATGAACTAGAGAAACAAATGGTCATCCTCTGCATACCCAAAATACAGCCATGGGACAGTCAAGGGATAACCATTATAGACATTAGTGTTTAAAAGGGGCAAGGGGAGGGGTACTGAGAGGCATACAGGAGTCACTGGTCCATAGCAATTCTGAAATCCAGCTAGAAAAATGTTGAAGTTTTCTTGTTTAGTACTCAGTCCTATTTTTGCCCAGGAGTGAGTCTCCATGGTGCTCGCTCACTCTCTCTCAGATATAATTCACATACCATAAAATTTACCATTTTGAAGTACATAATTCAGTGGTTTTAGTATATGCACAATGTGCAACCACCACCACTATCCAGTCCCAGAATGTTTGCATCCCTCTATTCCCCATTCCCCATTCCCTCAACCCCCTGGAAACTATCTACGTTCTGTTTCTATGAGTTTGCTTATTTAGTTCATATAATGGAAGTATACATGGCCTTTTGTGTCTGGTTTCTTTTGCTTAGCATAATGTTTTCAAGGTTTATTCACATTGTAAAATGTATTATACATTATTCCATTTTTCAGAGGCTTCTTGTATTTGTTTTATATATAATGACCAGGTTTTAAACTGTGCTTAGTGGGAGGAATAAGTCTTCTATTCCATGCTGGTCTGGGTCAGAACTTCTGTTTTTTTTGTTCCTATTGTTTTAAAATTCCTTTCTTCTACTTACCTTTTTTTCTTAAGTCTGTAATGAAAGCTTAGGTTACTGATGTTATATCTTTCATCTTTTAATTTATCTTCTTTTTAAAATATAAATATAAATTTTCTTTAAGAATTAATCTATAAATTCCCTCTAAGCCCTGCTTTCATGGCATCCCAAACATTTTGATATGTTGTGCTTACATTATCATTCAGTTTGAAATATCTTCTAATTTCCCTTGTGATTTTTATTCTTTGACCATGGGTTATTTAGAAGTGTGTTGTTTGAATTTCAAATAGTGGGGGGGTTTTCTATGTATTACTACTGACTCCTAATTTAATACCGTTGTGGTCAAAGAATATACTTTGTAAGGTAATAATCTTTTAAAATTTATTGACACTTGCTTTATGGCCCAGCATATGGTCTATTTTGATGTTTCATGTGTGCTTAGAAAGAATGTGTATTTTGCAGTTGTTGGCCAATTAGGTCAAGTTGGTTGATAGTGTTGTTTAAATCTATATCTTTACTGATTTTTAGGATGGCTACTTGTTCTATCAATTACTGAGAAGTGTGCTAAAATCTCTAAGTATGAGTATAGATTTATTGACTTCTCTCTAATTCTGTCAATTTTTGCTTCAAGTATTTTGGAGTTCTGTTGTTATGTATATACACATTCAGAATTGTATGTCTTTGAATGAATTTATATTTTTATCATTGTAAAACACACTCTTTTAGTCTAATAATACTCTTGGTTTTGAAGTCCACATTGTCTGATATTAACATGGTCATGTCTACTTTCTTATGTACGGTGTATCTTTTCTACCCTCCCTTTTATTTTCATCTTGTCTTTTTTGTAACTTAAGTATGTTTCCTATAAACAGCTTACTTCCTCCCCCCATTTTTCTTTTATTGTGATAAAATGTAGATAACATAAATTTTACCATTGTAGCCATTTTTAGGTATACAGTTGTGGCATTAAGTACATTCCATTGTTGCGCAACCGTTACCACCATCGGTCTCCAAGACTTTTTCATTGTCTCAAACTGAAATTCTGCACCCATCAAACAGTAAGTCCCATTTTCCACCCCCCACTCCTCTCCACCCCCTGCTGCCAGCCCCTGGTAAGCATTATTCTACTTTCTGTATCTATGAATTTGACTATTCTAGGTAACTCATATAAGTGAAATCATACAATATCTGTCCTCTTGTGTCTGACTTATTTCATTTAGCATAATGTCATCAAGGTTCATTCATGTTGAAGCATGTATCAGAATTTCATTTTTCTTAAGGTTGAATAATATTCCATTTTACACACACACACACACACACACACACACACCACATTTTATTTATCCATTCACCTATTGATGGACATTTGGGTTGTTTCTACCCTTTGGCTATTGTGAATAGTGCTGCTATAAACATTGGTGTATCAATCTCATTTATGTAATCTTAAGCTAAAGAGTCTGCAAGATTTGTAGTAACCATTTACTTTTCATGGTCATCATTAAAGCTATTCACCAAATACTTCCCCCAGCTCTTTGCCTTCTTGGTATATGCTAAGATTGTACCTTATGGCTCCCTTGTGATTGGATGGGATCATGTGACTAGTTGTGGCCAGTGAATTGAAACACATTTCTACTTCTGGAACACAGCACTTAATTGCTAGTGTGAAATTTTCTAGAGATCTCATTCCCTTTGCCACAGTAACTGGCAACATTCAAGACGGTGGCTGATTTGTCCCCATGTGCTACATTGAGGAGACATGCAGCAGAGCCCATAGCTGACTTTTGATGGCTATGTAGTGCTATGGAATGAAGTGTGTCCCTCCCAAATTCATATATTGAAGCCCAAGCCCTAGTCCCAGTGTGGCTGTATTTGGAGATGGGTCTTTTTGGAATTAATTAAGGCTAAATGAGGTCATAAGAGTGGAGTCCTGATAGGACAGGACTAGTGTCCTTATAAGAAAAGCTATCTGAGAGTTCATTTACTCTTTATCTCTGCACATGCACCAAGAAAAGGCCATGTGAGGACCCAACAAGAAGGTGGCTGTCTTCAAGCTGGGAAGAGAGCTCTCACCAGGAATCCAGTCAGCTGGCACCTTGTTCTTGGATTTCTATCTTCCAGAACTGTGAGAAAATAAATTTGTTGTTTATGCCATCCGGTGTATAGAATTAGTTATGGCAGCCTGGGCAGACTAAGACAGATAGTGTAAGAGAGAATTTAGCTTGGTTGTAAAAAGCTACTTAGATTTTAAGGTTCTTATTACCTCAGCATAGCTGAGACTATCCTGATTGACACAACTCTTTTGGCTAAAGGGAAAAGAGAAAGATAAGCATGCAATTGAAGCTATGCTGCCTTATGAAGGCAACTTTAATAGTTATATAGCTGGGATTTACAGACCTTGCTTTAAATGGCAATCACATTGCAAGACTTGAAGAAGTTGGTAATATTGCACAAGAGATAACAATAAATATATAAAGTTTGGATAACTAAAGAGACTTTTGTAAATAATCTTGACAGAAAAAAATGCAACGATTTTGAGCTCTAGCACAGGTATACAATAGACATTTGATTAGGATTTATAGTTTGTCTGTGATCTGATGTCTAAAGAGCACCCTTCGATTTTATTACAGTTTTCTAAATTGACTCACTGCTCAGCATGGTGAATTTCATAGCACCTGAGTAAATTTTACCTTGAAGTAAAGCTTTTTTTAATCCCCTAGGGCTGCTAGTTAAGCTTGTAGTCTCTGGTTATAGGCAAGACAGGCAGCATGGGAACACAGAAATACAAGAGCAAATAAAGACCAAGTACTCCAAGAGAATGAGAAGAGAAGCCACAGACTGAGAGAAAGTATTTGTGGAAAACGTATTGATAAATACAAAAATAAACAAATAACCCTTAAAACTCAACAACAAGAAAATGAATAACATAATTTAAAAATAGGCAAAAGATCTGAATGGACACCTCACCAAGGATGATACACAGATGGCAAATGGGCATATCAAAGATGCTCAACATCACATTATCATTAGGGAACTGAAAATTAAAACAAGGAGATACCACAACAAACCCACCAGAATGGCTAAAATCCAGATACTGATGACAGTATCAAATGCTGACGATAATGTGGAGCAACAGGAACTCTCATTCCCTGCTTGTGGGAATGCAAAGTGGTGCAGCCACTTTGGAAGACAATTTGACAGTTCCTTGCGAAACTAAGCATACTCTTAACCATACCATCCAGTAATTGTAATTCTATTTACCCAAATGAATTGAAAACTTATGCCCACACAAAAACTCATACATAACTAAAGCAGCTTTATTAATAATTGCCAAAAACTGCAACCTAAATACCCTTCAGTAGATGAATGGATAAACTCTGACATAACCATACAATAGAATATTAATCAGCAAAAAACAGACATGGTTTATAAAGCCTCAAAAAGATATGGAGGAAATGTAAATGCATGCTGGTGAGAGAAGGCAGTCTGAAAAGGCTACGTACTGAAAAGGCTACATATCATTCCAACCATATGACATCTTGAAAAGGCAATATGGAGAGAGTAAAAAAACCAGTGGTTGCCAAGCATTTAAGAATAGGGAGGGAGGGATAAATAGGTGGCACATGGGATTTTTAGGGCAGTGAAACTATTCTATATGATACTATAATGGTGGACACATATCATTTTACATTTGTCGAAACCTATAGAATGTGCCAGACCAAGAGGAACCCTAATGTAATGTAAACTGTAGACTTTGGGTGATAACTTGTTCATGTCGGTTCATCTTTTGCAACAAATGCACAGCACTGGTACCAGATGTTAGTGGTGGGGGAGGCTACAAGGTGTGTGGTAGGAAGGGCATGTGGGAACTCTATGCACTTTGATCCCAATTTCGCTGTGAGTCTAAAACTGCTCTAAAACATTAAGAATTCACTGAAGAATTCAACTAATGGGAAGGAAGAATTGCTTTCAGTGGGGAACCACTGTTTGGGGTGAAGCTGGTAGTAGGATATTTGTGAGAATTCTGGCTCCATGTCTGTTTGGCTGAGCAGGGATTTGTCGGACACTGTATTCAACTGAACCCTGGAATATATCTGTGTACAGAGGGGGAAATGGCACAGGGCCTTGGGCTTTCAGTTACTTTTGGGGATCTGCAACATGGGGGATATGAGGACTTGAAAACACAGTGGTTCTTTCCTGCATGTAATCTTACCTCTGCAGGCCCAAGAGCAAAAGGCAAATTACTGCCCTGTATTCCCACGGTCCCAGGTCCCAGGGCTTAAGGAACTAATCACAAACCTTTCTTGCGATCCTGCCAATTCTTTTTTTTGGAAATAATTTCAGATTTACAGTAAAGTGGCAGAAACAGTACAAAGAATTCCTTTATACTCATCACCCACATTTCCCAGAATGTTGACATTACATTTGCTTTATATCTCTTTCTCCTTCCCTCTTTCTCACTCATACATTTTTTTCTCTACCATTTGACAATAAGTTACAGACATCATGCCCCATCACCCCCAAATTCAATGTGCATTTCCTAAAAACAAGGACATTCTCTTATATAACCATAGTACAATTCTCAAGATCAGGACATTAACACTGATACAATACTATAATCTTCAGACAATGTTCAGATTTCACCAGGTGTCCCAGTGATGTCCACTGTAACAAAGGAAAACCCTGGATCATGCATTGAGTTCAGTTGCCGCGTCTCTTTAGCCTATTTTAACTGGAACTGTTCCTCCATCTTTGTCTTTTTTAATGTTGTCCTTTTTGAAGAGTACAGGCCAGTTATTTTGTAGGATGCTTTTTAATCTGGTTTGTCTTTTGTTTCTTCATTAGATTCAGGTAATGCATTTTTGGTAGAAATATCACAGAAATGTGCTCTTCTCAGTGCATGATATCAGGAGGCACCAGTAGTTGTATGAATACTTGGGATGTTAATTTGATCACTGGGTTAAGGTGGTATCTGCCAGATTTTTCTACTGAGCATCTGGCCAAGTTTATTTCCCCTGAAAGAATTCCTCTAATACAAAGTAGGCAGAATGGAGAATGTTCACCAGTGAACTGCAAACAACCCTTCAAAACTCAGCTTAAGTTACCGTTGTGTGGAGCCCTCACTGAGCACTCCTTTGCAGACTTAGGAAGTCTTTGCTTTATGCCCTATTTCAGGACTTAGCACTCTCTACCATGATTATTTACTTGATGGTACCTCCAAAGACCAGCATTATGCCTGGCACACAGTTGGTGTTTACAGATGTTGAATGAATGGATGAAAGTGATAGTCTAGAGAAGTGGGTGAGTCTCAGACGAGGGATGGAGGAGAAAAGCAGAGACAGGACAGATTTCAAGAAGGGTCTCCTGACACACCCAGTATCTGTACCTGGAGAGGAAGAAGGGTGGCAGCTTCCAGGTGTCTATCATTTCAGGCAAAAAGGTAGTTTTTCAGGACCAGAAGGCAGTTGGGTTATTATTGGTGATCTGAGTTATGTGTTAAAGATCCTAGTGGTCCCTACATTTAAGGCAGCCTTTTCCAGGATTCCTGCCATGTAAAAGGAGAAAGATGTTAAGAGAGGTGATACCCCTTCTAGAATAGCACCCTCAGAGCTGACATGGAGTTGCAGGAGGGGAGAAGCAAACATCTGGTCACTGAACCGAAGTTAGGAGTGACCTGTCTGTGCAAAACCCAGAGGAAAGGCTCACAAGAGCTCATCTGTTAATCATCCCCACTGCAATGTCAAAGGAAATGCCTAAAAGTGAAAAGAAATTCTAGGCCAAAATACCAGGTGTGGAGAAGTTATTCTGAGAAAGGAGTTAGTCCATAGAAAGGATGTGGCAGTTAAAATTAAACAGAACAATAGATTCTACAAAGGAGACTCAGGGAAGCAAAAGGCAGAATATCAGGACCAAATTTTAAATGGGAAAAGGTAAAACCTAATTAGACCTAAATAAAAAAATCTTTAATCAGTTATAAATAAGAAAAGTAGATATATGCTAAACATCTTCTAAAGAGCTTATAAAAGGCAGTCTCATAATAAAACGGAAAGCCAATTTGCTCAGGAAACTCATATTTCCTGTCCACTTTGTTTGCTTGGAAAACACAGTAGAGTCGACCATCTGGAGTAATTAATTCTGGGGTAAAAATGTCAGAACCTGGGTAAACAAAGATTAGCGCCAAGATAACAATAATAAGGGGGGAACCAGGAACTGAAAAAGAAACCATGTTTAAAAAATTCAAAGGGATAGAATTCTGGACTTCTAGCAATTTAGAAGACTCCAGCGAGAAACATATTCTGCCACTGGTTAACTTCTTGAACTACAGAGTTCTTGGGATGGCTTTTGCTCTTTTATATTTAAAGTATCTCAGGTTTCAAATCAATTTCTATAAAAATTCTACAAAACAAAAGGAAATATATGTAAATCACATATTTAAAAACAACCCACCCCGCCCAAACCTTCCCAAAGCCATGGCATCAGAAGTGGTTAAAGTAACTGCAGAGGTAAATCAGCCCACTCAGTGACTGAACCTGGCTTTGTTAAACCATGCTTTAAATGGTCTGCTGCACTGATGACCACAAAGCATGCAAAATAATTTGGAAGCAACAATGCAAACCTGAGTTTTTCAGGCACCCTCCCCCTGGTACCCCGTTCCCAACCCCAGTGCTAACTAATGACATTCTGATGTTTAGTATCAAAAAAACCCACTGGGAATAGAACCTCAGAAATATCAGAAAAAAATGTTCCTTCTCCTCCTAGAGCTGTAGAAAATCAGATTTCATTCCACAACATAAAGCTAGTTCTGATAAAGTGGTAAATGAACACAAAGCACTGATCTCTGCGTCTCACATCTTCTCTCACCTTCTCGGAAGTGGGGATGAGCCCTGATAGGATACTCAGACACTGGAGTTCTAGGAGAGGCAGGAAGCACAAAAGTACAAGAGGGCAGTTTCTACAACACAGAGAGTTAGGCTTGAAGAGAATTTTAATATAAGCTAGTTCAATTGTCTCTCATTTTTTCAGGAAACCAAGTCCAGGAAAGAGCGAGTGACTATGTAGTGTGGACTAGCTGACAGCCTGAGTTTCTTTCCACCCCTCCACACAAAACAAGTGCAACCAAAAAATTCACATGCCTATACCTGAGGTTGCAATACCAAAGCTGCAAATGTAGTTGGGACCAAACTGTGTTCCAACTTGGATAGCAGGTTTGGAGTCAGGTTTAAGTCATTATCCTGTGAGCAATGGGAGCCACTGGAAATTCTTGAGCAGGGAAAGTGGTTACAGGAACTGACCTTGGACTCGGAATGACTTTGGGTTTGAATCTTGGCCTGGTTATTAACCTTTCTGAGCACCATTTCCTCCTCTATGAGAGAGGGAAATTATGTCCTTAAGTTACTTTGCCTACTTAAACTCATTTCTTCAGCTTCAAACCACTCTGTACAGTGGTAAGGATTAAATAACATAATGAATTTAAAGCACTTAGCACTGTAGGTAAATCAGCATTTAATAGTGTTTACTATTATTGTGATCAGAGCTTTACTTCCAGAAGCTTTATTAGGCAAGTTGTCCCCCAGTTAAACAAGGTAACAAGGACCTGACCTGGGGAAATGGAATACGGTAATAGATTCACAGTTAGTCAGTTACCCATTACTGCATAACGAACCAACCCAAACTTAGCTTAACAACACAATCATTTATTTTTTAACATGAATCTACAATTTGGCCAGAGCTTGCCTCCGTTCCATACAGCATCATCTGATGAAGATCAGCTGGGGACTGGAGGGCGCTCCTTCCAAGATGGCTTATTCACATGGTTGGCAAGTCGGTTCTAACTGTTGGCTAAGAGTTTAGCCAGGGCTGACGGCTGGCGACTTTGTTTCCTTTCCAAGTGGGCCTCTCCACAGGCTGCTTGGGCTTCCTCAAAGCACGGTTGTTGGACCCAAGAGTGAGCATTCCAAGACAGCGAGGTGGCATTTTTGCAATTTAGTCTCAGAACACAAATATCATTACTTCTGTACTCTGTTGGTCAAGTCAGAAACAAAGGTCTACCTCAGTTCAAGGTGACAAAAACCCCATCTCTTAATGGAGGTCTAGAAGAACATGTGTTATAGGTCACACCTGCATTTGGAAAATATAATCTGCCACTAGTAGGGATGACATGGTTTAGCAAATGACTGGTTGTGGGCAGCGAGGAAGAATGAGGTGCTGAGGATGCGTGAGGTTTCTGGCTTGGGTGACCCCATGGTGCTATCAATAGAATTAGGGAACAGAGAAGCAAGGGTATTGTTAAAGTATTTAAACAAGGAGGCCATTAGACTGAGGTGGCTCTGATATCAATGCCTTGATAGTTGACACAAGCAAACCAAAACCCAAGCCAGAGTCAACGCCTCAAATTTGAGAAAGTGAAATTTAAGAATATCTAATCACAAATAGCCAACTAGGTTTTCCCAAGTAAGGCAACTGCTTAAGCTATAACCAATCAAATAAACACTTTGCTTTTCCTCTCGCTATAGAAACCTTGCCCCAGGCTCCTGTCAGGGGCATACTCCTAACCACTCTCGGTTTGCCTCTGACCAATTCAGTAGAAGTCTGCTCGAACTTCAAAATTTTAATGTGTCTCATTTTACCTTTCAACAGCATATTTGGGATGATTATTGGCATTCAGAAGCCCTTAAGTAGCTACAAGGCTGGAGCCTGGGAGAGGGCTAAGGGAGTTTTGCCCACAAAGCCTTTCATTGAAACAGACTAGAAGAAATGGTCAAGGATGGGAAAGAAAGAAAAACCTCCCACCAGATTCTTGGAAAAAAAAGTATCTTAGTAGAGGGAGGAGAGAGTAGCAATGAGGGAGGAATGGATGAATGGCCGTAAGTCGGAGAAAAACACTAGAGTTTGGTTTCATGGAAACCAAAAAGTAAGTGGGATGGAGGTTGAAGTGGATTTAACATCACAAAGAAGTCAAGACGGAATAGGACAGAGAAAGAGCCATAGGGTTAGCAAATGGGGGTGTACTGGTCCTTTGAGAGTGATACATAGCAGGTACCATCTAACATTTGTGTAGCCCTTTGTAGTTTCTAAAGCACTTTCACACATGGGGCATAATGCCCTGCTGGAAAATAAACTTTTCTTCCCTCTGTTAATAGCAAAAGTGAACAGATTAAACACTTAAATGTAAGACATGGAACTGTAAAACTCCTTAAAGAAAATGTCAGAGAAAAGCTTCATGACATTGGTCTTGGTAATGATTTCTTGGATATAACACCAAAAGCAAAAACAAACAAGTGGGACCACATCAAATTAAAAAATTTCTGCAGAGCAAAGGAAACAACAGAGTGAAAGGCAATCTATGGAATGGAAGGAAACATTTGCAAATCATACATCTGGGCAGGGGTTAACATCCAAAAAAATATATGGAACTCCTTCAATTCAATAGCAAAAGACCAAAAACCAAACCAAAACAAAATCCAAATAGCCCAATTAGAAAGATAGGCATAGGATATGAACGGACATTTCTCCAAAGAAGACATGCAAATGGTCAGCAGGTATATGAAAAGCTGCTCAACATCACTAGTCATCAGGTTAATGCAAATCAGAAATCACAGGAGAATGCTAATGAAAAACGAAAGACAGCAAGTGTTGGTGGGGATGTGGAGGAATTGGAACTCTGGCACACTGTTGGTGGGAGTGAAAAATGGTGCAAACACTACTGAAAATAGTATGGAGGTTCTTAAAAAATCAGAAATAGAAATACCATATAATCCAGTAATCCCACTTCTGCAAATTTATCCAAAAGAATTAAAATCAGGATCTCGAAAAGGTATTTGCACACCCATGTTCATTGCAGCATTATTCACACTAGTTGAGATGTGGAAATGTCCACTGACAGATTAGTGGGAAAAAACATACAGTATACACAACACACATTGGAATATTATTTAGCCTTAAAAAGGGAAATCCTGCCATATGTGACAACATGGATGAACCTGGAGGATATTTTGCTAAGTGAAATAAGCCAGTCACATAAGGACAAATACTGCATGATTCTACTTATATGAGGTATCTAAAACAGTCAAACACATAGAAGCAGAGAGTAGAATGGCGTTTGCCAAGGGCGGGGGGGAGGAGAAGTGGGGAGTAGTTATTCAAAAGGTGTGAAGTTTCAGTTATGCAAGATGATTAATTTCTAGAGATCTGCTGTGCATTTACCTATAGCTAACTGTTGTACTCTTACAAATTTGTTAAAAGGATAGATCCCATATTAAGTATTCTTTGCACATATACACAAAGCGAAAATGTGTTTGAGGACCAAAGTAGCTCTTCCCACTGCACTGCACTCCTGCATCCTAGGGGGCAGGTGGAGAACTGTGGTGGTGCACTCAACCTTGGCGGGTTGAGCATGTCCTGACCAGGGGCTCCAGGGCCAGCTGTGGCTTAGAATGTGGTTGTGCATGTGAATAGGCAGGGGGACTGTGGCATGAGGCATTGTGCTGAAACCTGTGCAGAAGTCAGGATGGAGGACCCAGCTCAGGCAGGATGGATGTGGATAGGACTTGCTCAGTGGCTGCCATCCTGTCTCCAGCTCTTTCTTGTGTTTTGAAGTAAAGGACTTGTCCTAGTTTGGCTGTTCATTCTTGGTAGAGAGTAAACTCTGTGAACATGCCCTAAACAGGAGGGCAAACAGCACTCCTTCCTGACATACCCTCATAATCCTCATCACAGCTCTATGAAGTTGGGATTGTTATCAGCCCCATTTTACAGATGAGATTTGAATTTAGGGGATCTGTTTAGGGTTATAGGTCTAGTTTATATGCAGAGGTAGAACTTGAACCCTATGGAAGAAGGATCCTCACTTCACTGTTAAGTAAAATCTTTAGCCCACTCTCCATCCCCCCAAGTGAAATTGAGTTCCATAAGCCTCCTAACAGAATTCCAGACATTAGCATTAGAAATGCAAGTCTTCATAATTAACAAAAGGGAGTTTCAGGAAGATATGGCAACATTACCTCTCCCCATTCTTCATCATAAAAATAAGCCAAATAATCTAGTTAAATAAAGTATTAAGATCTTTCTCAAGAATATCAATTTGCTTCTCCTATGCAAAATGGAGATCTGTATGAACGTTTGTAACTGGCACCAATTGTTTTCTGTTAATCTGCCTTTGCAAACTTATTTGAAACAGAGGGATTTTTAAATCTTCTAAGACTTTAGCAATTGTTGCTACACCTCATAAGTTACCTTAAAAAAACCTGTCATTCTGATTGGATGCTGCTGTTGGTTGAACTGTGTGTCCCTGTTACCAAAACAAATTGTTGATGTCATAATCCCCAGTATCTGTGAATGGGACCTTATTTAGAAATAGGATCTCTACAGATGATCAAATAAAGCTGTTATTAGGGTGGGCCCTAATCCAACATGACAGGTTTGTGTAAGAAGGGGCCCTTTGGAGAGACACACAAAGGTGTGAAGACACAGGGAGAATGTCATTCACAAGCCAAGCAACACAGGCCACCAGAAGCTAGGAGAGACCTGGAACATTCTCCCCCACAACCCTCAGAAGGAACCAGCCCTGATGACACCTGGATCTCAGACTTCTGGCTTCCAGGACTGTGACACACTTAATTTCTGTTGCTTAAACCACTATGCCACCCAGTTTGTTATGGCAGCCCCAGGAATCTCATACAACTGCTCTGAAAATACTGCAGCAGTTATCATACCTTCTTATCAGTAAGATTTCTGTTAAATCAAGACAGGATCACAAGCAACTTTTCTTTTCCTACATACACAATGGAAAAAATTAAAACTCTCAAATAACTTGAGTCTGTTTGACTTAAAGTGACAACTCTGATCTGGTTTTAAGTCCAGAGCTCTTCTATCACACAACCACTGCACACAGGCACAACATGAGGCAAAACTACCCATTTAGTTTCCTTTTGTGGTTTGCTCATTTTTGGTTGGTTGCTCTTTTCGTTATTAATTTGTAAGCACTCTTTTTAAAACCAGTTCGTTTATGTCTGTTTTTGATGTTGCAAATCATTTCTCCTAATCTATCATTTATCTTTTTTCACTTTTTGAGTGGCATTATTTTCCATAGATGCTTAAAATTTTCATGTAGGCAAGTATATTAGCCTTTTCTTTTATGGCTTTTGAATTTCGTGTATTGCTTGGGCAGGCTTTCTCTATTCCAAGATCACAGAAATCTATTTTTTCTCAGTATTTTAGTAATTTTTTTATGGTGAAGGTTCAGACTTCAAGTTTTTCTGGATAGACAGCTAATTGATCCAGCACCATTAATTGAATAGTACCACCCCAACTGATGTGAAATACCACTTTTATGATAAATTGTTAAAGGTACACGGGCCGGTTTCTGGCCTTTATTCACTATTCACATTCTGACTTCACTTGCCTTTCTTTAGCAACTGGCCACAGAAATGCACAATCATGTATGCTGAGTGGCCCAGATCGTAGCCGACTGGAGAGTGTACGCAGACTGCCTCCTGGGGGTTTACACTTAGCCCATCAACTGCTGCCACACAAAAATGTGGACCCCGTGTGGCCAGATCTTCCAAGTTTTCAAGAGTTGCTAGATGTCCAGATTTTTGTATGAAATCTCTAATTTTTAAAGTAATGGCAATTAATCTTTTAAATTTCAAAAACAAAATCTATTTGCAAGCTGAAAGCAATTGGCAGTGCACCAGTTGGTAACCTCTGTACCAGATGCTGACATAGGATAAAGCGGAGTAAGTCTGGACTGGGTCGAGATGTCCACCTCCAACTCTCTCCCATGGCCACCGACATTAAGAAGCAAAAGAGGAAGAGTTGATACAGTGGCTCCGGAAACCTCAGTTATTTGTAGCCCCTTTCTTTTCCCCCTGGAAAGACAGTGTCATGCCTCATCTCACCTCTCACCCACAGGACTTGATGATGCGGTTCCTGGTCTGCCCAGCAACTAGGAGGTAGCAGGTCAGCATGGGGGAAGGGGTAGTAACATTAGTCAAGCTGGGCCCCCTAGTCCCCATTAGGCCGAGTGGCAAAGAAGGAATGGACAGTAAGGTGCTGGCTAAGGACAGGGCAAGATCCTGACCCCCCAAAACAAACTGGAAAGTGATACCACCTCCTTTCTAATAATAGCACAACTTCCCTGGATACCCAACCAAACATTTGTCTAATCAGCAAAGGAAGGGCAATTGACAAAGGTCTCCAACTCTCACGTGGGGGACAGGATCTGCTAGTAGCAAGGATAATGCACAGAGGATTTCAGTGTTTATGGAAAAGCCCCTTCACATACGTTATCTCACTGTCTCTCACAAGGACCCTGTGAGGTAGGCAGCATCAGAGCTGTTACTGCCCCTTTCTGAAGAGGAAACTGGCCCTAGGGTAACCAGGATGGTTTTTAGATGGCTCCAGGATATGCAGGAAGGCTGTATGGGAGAATAAAGGGCTGCAGGCCCCTTCTCTTTCCCTGTGTCCATCTCTGCAGAATCATTTACACATTCAACAAATCACTGAACACCTCTGATGGACATTCTTCTAGGCCTTGGGAATATAGCAGGACACAGATCCAGGGCATTATCCTTCCCTTTGGTTGGGCCAGTAATCTTTACTCTGAACAGTGACCCAGACTGGCCCTTGCTCTATTCTTCTCTGGTGGCAGCAGTGCAGCAGTGACCTCAAGACAACAGTTGCATTTTGTTCCAGGTCCTTGTTTCCCTGGCTATTGGTCACTTCCTGGAATGCACTGACCAGTTGCAGAAATACATGTTTACTATGTTTGAGGCATAGGTAACCGACAGATTCAGACTCAAATCCCAGCCACATCTTAATTCTGATCTACTTTAAAATATACTTCAGGCAGGTCACACAATTTCTGGGTATGGCATTCTGAAAGCAGGGACGGCACAAACGTTTTTTTTTCTTGAAGCAGGAAACAGCTCAGCCGGTGAGGCAGCAATCTCTAGGGCACACTGGATCAGTATCATTTCTTCCCATTATCCTACATCTACATCTTTCCCTCTGATGCCCCCATCTTTCAGGGTATTGTCTGAGGAGCAGCAACAGGCAGGGGAAGGAATATGTGCTAGATATACGTAGGGCAGTCCCACCAGCTCTACTTGTTTAAGACCCCATCACACGTTCTGTATGCAAACATATTCTTCTACTTTGCAGTTGATAGAACTGTGGCCCCCAAAGAGACATGTCCAAGTCCAAATCCCAACACCTTATCTGGAAAAGGGTCTTTGTAGATGTAATTAAGGTGAGGGTCTCCACATGAGATCATCCTTGATAAGGATGGGCCCTAAATCAGTTGACATGGATTTGGTGTCCAATGGTGTCTTTATAAGAGACAGAAAAGAACACACAGAGACACACAGGAGACAAGGCCCATGTGAAGACAAGGCAGGGAGCAGACTTACTCTACCATAAGCCAAGGAATGCCAAGGACTGCCAGCCGCCACCACAGAGAAGGGGAAGGCATGGGATGGATTCTCCCTCAGAGCCTCCAGAAGGAACAAACCTTGCTGACACCTGATTTCAAACTTCCAGTCTCCAGAACTATGAGAATCAATTTCTGTTGTTTTAAGCCACTGAGTTTGTGAGACTTGGTTATGGCAGCCCTAGACCACAGGCCTGATCTGCTTTCCCTGTTTGAGCAAGGATTACCATGGACAACTTGACCCGAGAGCCTTCCTATTCCTTACCTCTGGGGCCTTTGGCAAGCTCTCAGATGGTCACACAATGTCCAGAGACACCATGAGTGCCTACCCAGCAGGTGTCTATTCACCAGCAGAAGAGACTTGGGGCCCCTTGTGAGGTGCTGGGCTCTGTAGCTTCGGGAGGAGTAGGATCAATGTCCTCATCCACATCAGATCTATCTGCTCCTATCTCAGCCCTTTCTTCCTGCCTGATCCAGAGGCTGTTCTCTAACTGTTCTTCAGCAGCTTCTAGTTCTTCCTCTGTTTGTAAAATGGCCACAGTTTTCCGGGGTAAATGTGAGGAATACAGTCCAAGTTTGGCTTTATAACCAAACATTGCCTCAAATGGACTTTGCTGCATGGAAACGTCAAAGGCCTGATTTCTTACCAGCTGCATGAATCGCAGGCCTTCGGCCCAGTGACGTGAGTGGTTACTCTGCATCCAGGCATTTAACATGTTCTTGACGTCATGGCTTGCTTGCTCCAGGCAGCCCTGGCCTTGGACAGGGTGATACTTATCAGAGACAATCTTTAGGTCTGGCCATACCTCATTGAGCTCATTAACAACCTGGGCTGTGAACTCTATGCCACTGTCAGATTCTAACACGCTTGGTGTACCAAGAATTGTGAAAATATCCAACAGGACCCTGACCACCTCGTGGGTCTGTTTAGCTTTTAATGGCCGTAAAATAATAAACTTGGTCAGGTGGTCCTGGTAATATAAAATAAACTTGAACTCGCCATCGGCATTTGACTGCATGTCAAGTATTTCAACTTGGCATCTGGAGTCACTGTCCTTAAAAGGCAGGGGCTTGGGTGCAAGGCCTCTCTTGGGTACTGGGTTCTTCTGGTGGCATTGTTTACACAGAGTCAGATATAAGACAATGACTTCCTTGGTGACATTCCCATATTTTCCTTGCAGCTCCTTGAGCATGCGCGTCCGCCCACCATGCCCAATACTGAGATGTGTATCATGAAGAATATCAAACAACTCTTCTTTATGTACATAGTACCGTATTCGATCCCGTTCTCCATGAGTAGCCTCTATTAGTTTCTCTGCGCCTTGTACAGAGATCACATCATATTTTGCTGCTCGGCGATAATCACGTGACGACTTCTTCCCCTTCTCCTTGGCTTCTTTGACTTCCTTTATTGTTTGAAAGTACTTTTCTTTGGAAAAGACTTTACTGTTGTAACTTTTGCTTTCTACTAACTTTGTCACACTTATAAGAAACTTTTCTCTCATTTTACTTATCTCCATTTCCATTTCACTTGTATTTGAAACACCAGGGAGATCATTTCCGGCTCTCTGTGGCATCATGGACAACCGCAAGGAGGAGCCTAAGAAAGGAAGAAAGAAACAGAACAAAGTTAAATTTGCTGCTATTTCATACGGAAGACTTTTCTTTCAAGGTTCCTCACTAATTCTTTCATCTGATTTTTGAAGACTGTTATATGGAGGAAAGAGAATAGAGTAATAGTATAAAGTAGTAACACAATAAAGCAAGTAGAAAGCCAACTGAGACCATTCAAAATCAGAACTTGCCTATAGACTTTTAAATCAATAAGATAAATATACGAGTATGCAGTCATTTCAGACTTGAGGCATAGCTCAATAATGAAACTGTTAGATCATACAGTGAACTCTAATTAACAGGTCTTTATTAATTGAATAGGGAAGAAGGTAAATGGAAATGCCTAATGCAATAGGCTAATATCTCATCCTCAGCACCTTTTAAAATAATGTAAATGGGAGAATGTTGCTGGAAGGTACCACATAATAATAATAACAAACTCTAAACTTGAAGTTAGCAACAGGGAGGGCTTTTTAGCCTTCTCACAGTCAACATAGATCATTTCTTGTGGCTGAAGGGTCTTTCCTTGTTTTAGGAAAATCAAGGACAAGTGCTAAGTTTTTCCCTGTCAACAGTACATAAGATTAGTAAACGAAGATTCTGAGTCCTTACCTTGAGGGACTACGTTCTCATAACTGTCCAGCATTGTGTCTCTGTAGCACTCCTTCTAAGAGGCTTCCAAACACTTCTAATCTTTGGTCATGTCCTTGTATGTTGCTACCTACTGAAATGAAAATGGCTGCTGCCACAGGGACCATTCCACCTTGGGGTCTGGGCTAAGGAGCAACTGCAGCAGGGCTGGGAAAGAGATAGTGGAGGACACCAGGAACACAGGTATGCTAGCATAAATGACTCAGAATGTGAGTCATGCCAATATTACACAGAAGGTACCAGAAGTAAAGAAAAGGTCTCATATCCAACAAGATGAGGCCAGCTTTGTGGGCAAGGAAAAGGGGTTTTGCCTTCCTAGGAGGTCTGTAGGCCTGGCCTGTTTTGACAGTGTCTGAGCTATGTCAGATACTTCCAGAACAAAGCAGAGTCCAGATGAACTTAGGCACTCCAAGACTGAGAGACACTTTGAGGTACAGGCTTGATGGCTCTGAATAGAGGTAGCAGGGTCTGTTTCCAGAAATGGAGAAATTACATTTATGTACACAGAGATATGTCAGAAGAGTATCATGCCAAATAGAGATACCCCAAATCGAGTCCATTTTCCACCAAGATCAGAGAACTCCTCAGAAGAAAACTTGATACTCAGGTGTCTAAACTGACATTCCTTATTAGAATTCCAGGATATAGGATGGTGATGAGGCCAAGGGAAGAGCTCACAGGATGACAGCAGAATTCCAACAATCTTAGGAAAATAAGATCCTCAGGATCCCAGGCATACGTGCAGAACAGAATCCTGAGAAGCAGAAAAAGACATAAATGTGTAAAAGTTCTGAGCAAGAGTCTTAGTTAAACTGAGCCTGCTTCCAGATCCTAAAGGCTCTCTACTAAAAAGTCTTCAAATTCTCTTGCTCAGCATCACTGGTTAACCATGGAACATTTCTGATTCTAAGACATTACTGACTGTAAAACCAGACTCAATGACAACTTTGTTTTGAGAGGAAAAACTGAGAACCTATAGTACATGAACTCTTCAAAATTAAAAAATGTGGAAAATAAATATTTGGAATTGAAGAAATCGAATATTTTCAAATGCTCTTTAAGCCTGGACTCAAGATTCTTAGTGCAAACTGATATTTTAAAGGCTCTGAGAAGTTCTGCTGTAAGGACACGAGTTTGTTTCATCCACCAGTCCCATTTAATCATTGACATGGGACTTTGTTTCCTAAGGAATTTCTATTACTATCCCACAGTCCCAGTGGTCCTCAGAAGATACCTGAAACCACAAAGTATTCAGTGGGATCCAGAAAAGCACCTTCCAGAATCCACACTGAAACTGGCATGCCTTGGAAATTGAGTGGCTGTGCTGGCTGCTATTGAGGCCCTTCAGGAGACTGCTCAGGAAAGAAAAACCTCATCTCCATTCTATAAAAGAATGAAGACAGGCTGGAAATAATTTATAATAGGAAGATGCAAAATTTCAGTATTTAATATATGGTCCTCATATTAATATGAAAAATTCTAAAGCACTGCCCAAGAGACACATTTGACTAACAGACCTACTTTGGTTAATCTATCCAGTGTTGTTGTTTTAATTAGAATGATTTACCTACATTTACAGACTGGGAGATTTCATGTAAGAATCTAGATTTCTGACTTTGTTGAAAAATGGGAGGATCTGGCCACACTGGGAGCTTTGCTGCTTGGCAGCAACTGGCCGGGTGGAGGGGCAGCAGCTCCCTTTAAGATAGAGCTCACACTCTCCCATTTCCCACCGTTCCGAAGCCACCTACTCACTCCTTCACCTTCTCTGTCCATCCCTGCAGCTGTCCTAGTTTTCAACATCTGTTCTAAACCAGCAGGAAAGGAATATGGCCAGCTTCCTGGTGTGATCTGGTGTAACCGATAAAATGGGCTTAGAGAAAACGGGAAACATCTCCTTTCCTCACCACCTGCGAATCTCTGCTTTGGCCTTCCCAGGCCTGGAATGTCTTTCCACTTATCTTCCAAATCACACCCAACTCGAATCAACCTCCTTCCCCACGCATTCAGCAGCTCCAGCTGACTGCCATCTCTCCCTCATCTGCACCGTCTGCATCATTGCTTTGTAGTTTTACAAATACTTTACTAGACGACTAGTTCCGGGGTACACAACGTAGAAGGCATGCGCTGCCTTCTACCCAGATGTATCCCCTCAGAGAGCTGATGAATACAGAGCAGAAACAAAACATGTTCAAAGGACATTTGCCAAACACTTCACTTACAGGTATAGTACCAAGGCAGTGGAGTTAAGAATCTACCTTGGGAATTCAACTTCTCTTATCATTCATTGTGTGATTAACTTAGGCAAAGATACTGAGGCTTCAGGTTCCTCATCTATAAAATGGGGAGAATATTATTTTCCATCACAATGGGTTACAAAGACTCCAGATAACAGTACATTGTCCCCGCACCCTCCACAACACAGAAACTCCCGCTTGTTCCTTAAGACCTGGTTCAGGGATCACCTCCTTTGCGAGGCCTTCCTCCCTGACCTCTGCGGACTCGGCTCCCACGGGGCTCGGCCCCACGCAGTATCTGCCCGCTAATCGCCGCCCCGCCCACCCCTCCGAGGGCGGCCAGCTCTATAAAAGAAGCTGAACCAGTAAGTCAGGCCGGGGAGAGGAGGGAAGGGCCGGAGACCACCGAACCTGGTCACTATGCAGGAGGGAGGGCGGAACGGAACGTAAGGTAAGGGAGACGCCAGGGGCCGCAGAGTCGGGGAGTCCCTTCCACCCACGGGCCCGCGCCTAGCTGCGTGGCCCCGCCGCTGCCTCACCTCCCGCCCGCTGGGGTCCCGATGCGCCCGGAGGCCGGCGCAGCGGAAGCATTCCGCGCCGACCGGAAGCCCCGCCCCTCCCGAGGCTGCCTCCGAACAGGGTCGCGGGAAGAACCCCTCCAGCTGGTCGGTGGCTGGGTGTTATGCGGCCGCACAGGTTAGACATCCCTTTAGTCCGTACACGTGTGGCACTGGCTAAGCCACTAAGTTCCCCGTAGCAAAACTGGTTAGCCATTTCCTCACGTGATTGCAAAGCTTCTAGCCTGGAAAACAAGACGCATTCATCAATAATTCTACCAGCTTTAAGTGAGGAAGGGCAGAGGCACACGTGTTGCCAATGGCACTTTCTATCTTTTCACTCAATCCTTTAGGAACCTGTATTTTAGATGAACACCTTTAATTTCAGACTACAACCTAAAGATTTCAGTTTTGGTTTGTGCTCGTGCAGCACCAGTGCATAAAACAAGACGGCAAAGGGCGGCCCTCCGGTATTCCAAAAAACCTGAGGTTCCTCAGTATCACGAACAGTTTGAAGCAGTGGTCTAGGTGCTACTGGAAAATTACAGCAGTCCCTCTATTGTATTCTAAACAAGATTATCCAATGGCAACATTTAACTTTTGTACAAAAAACTTAAAAACCTCAGCATCTCATCTAGGCCTTCTTTTCAATGAGCCATATTGTACACCAAATGCTATCTGCTTTAAAGAAAAAAAATTACCATTTCATTAGTCTTAATTTCAGAAAATCATCAGAATCTCAACTATTAAAGAACTGATGCTCAAAGAAAAAAACCCAACTCTAAACAGTATTGACATTAGCAGAATCAAGCTTTGAGAAAGGAGTGGACTGTCTCAGACAGCAAACATCACCCGAACTTCCCTGAAATTAGGTAGGTATCCCAAAACAGCACAAGTAACACAAAAGCTCTTCATTTTAAGTTTTTATTGGAAGCTGCATGTATGATTACTTCATTCCTGCATTTTCTCAAGTGTTTCTTCTTTATATTTGCCCTTTTCCTTTCCTACTTGTCGAGATTTGGCTTTACGTTCAAGGATCTTTTTGCGGTCTTTGTCCAGTTTTAGCCTAGTGATAACCACCTACAGAAAAATAAGAAAAAATACGTTTAAGCTTTAAAATATTACCAATGCAGAACACAGGGAAAAGACATGACAATCCCACTTCTCAAACCTGGGGTAGCAAGTGACTAACATGAAATGACTATTTCACTCAAAAATGCCATGAATGATTCTTTGGCCTCCAAATCAAACCTGGCTTAGTAACACGCTTCTGGCAGAGAAATGGCAATGTGCTGTCTGTGGGTCTCCTCATTTCCTCTTCTATGAGGAGAGTTTAGAATCCTAAGGTTTCAGATTAAATGTAACCTCCACACATGCTTTAACCTGCAAAACCACAAGTATGGATCTCATTTCAACATATCTAATCGCTAAAGACATCCAGATTATGATATATTTTAGTCTTACGATAGAAGGTTAAAGAGGGCACTGAACCAGGTCTGGAAATAAAGCATGGTGACCGAAAGAAAATCGTTGCCACGATGAGCTTATATTCTTGTGTGGGAGATAGAAAACAAGTAAGTGAATAAATGTCAGACTTTCACACAGAGAAAAAAACAGGGCAATAGGGGAGGCTGAGGAATGCTGGAGAAAGGGGGTTGAATCATAAAGGGTGATTCGGCAAGGCCTTACTGCTAAGGCTACATTTAACAGACACCCAAAACCTGCAGTACCTTATGCTCAATTAAGTAAGTCATAAAGACAAGTACTATATGGTACCACTTACATGTGAAATTTTAAGAAGTTGAACTTGTAAAAACAGAGAATAAAATGATGGTTACCAAGGGGTCGGGGGACAGCACAGATGTTTAAGGGTACAAATTTACTAGTAAGCCCTAGAGAGAGAATGCAGTGTAGCGAATACACAAAATACCGTATTATAACTCCTTAAGAGACTAGAATTACTTAGTTACTAAAAAGGATAATTACGTAGTGATAGAGGTGCTAATTCTAACAATTATATCACATTATGTAAATGTATCTAATTTATGCTGTACACCTTAAATTTATACAATGTTATGTCAAATACATCTTAATAATAAGAAACAACAGAAAACCCCACCTGAAGGAAAACAGTAAAAATGAAGATTCATCTGAGTAAAAATAGAACAAGTTCAAAGGTCCAGAGGCAGGAGAATTAAGTTTTATAGGCATGTCTTTCTCAAACCTGAGTGTCTAAGAACCAAGTTTGTTAAAATAGACCCCTGGGTCCCAACCTCAGGGTTTAGTACACCTGGGAACAAATCGGGGATTCTACCAAGGTGCCAGGTGATGCTAACCAGCAGACACACTAAGTAGCTTTGCTGCACGAACAGCAAGGAAGCCAGCAAGCTAGAACATGGATAGTGGAATAAGAGGATGTCTACAGGTGGCTGGTGAGGGGTTATCAGCTAAGGTCTGTTAGGCCAGTGATGGCCAGACAGGATTCTGGACTTAATATGACAGCAGTCAACAGGTCTTACTGACTGATGTGGGGTATGTACCAGGAAATGACATTTGTGGCCTAAGCACTTGGGAGGATAACTGTGATGGTGGCAAACTGTGAGAGGTTTCAAGAACAAAACCCAGGAATTTGAACACATCAAGTTTGAGATATTCATTAAAAAACTCAAGTTGAAATGCCCAACAGGCAAATGGATGTTGGTTTTGGGCTGGAGCCATCCACCTCTGCACAGCTGAAGTCCTAAGACTGGAGTGAAAAGATGAAGCTGACTTAAGAGGGAGATCAACTCTCCCTTATGCTGCCCTAAATTCAAAAAGATTACTGGACTGATGACCTTGACAAGAGCTAATCCACCAGTGGGGGCAAAACTGAGCAGCACAAGTTCAAGAATGGTAAAGTCCTTGCTCCTAGGATATTCCTACTGAGGTAATTAGAGGTGAAGTGTCAAGATGCTAGTAATCCACTGGGGGGCAGGGAAGAGAAGAAAATGCGGCAGAATATTAATAGTGAGTTCTAGGTGACAGATATGCAGGTATTTTATTGTATTAGTCTTTAGACTTTTCTCTAGTTTGAAAATCAGATTTATGGTGCCAACATATTTAACAGCTCAATATTTGAATAGTCACCATGTGCATGTATTATTTTTATATTAAATACATTTTTTAATTGGAAAAAATCTGATACACCAAAAGGTGAATTCACATTAAAGTCCTAGGCAGACACCTGCTGCTATGGGAATCAGACCAGATTTTCTATCTTGGCTTAGATGTTATCACTATCCATGAGATCTAAGACTCTGAGCTTTGTTTTTTTCCCCATAAACGGCTTTAACACTTACTCTGCAGGGTTGTAAAGCTACCATACTGCTTACTCAATTTTCATACACAAAAGCAAACAGGGTTATCAGCTCCATTTAATCTAAAAACTATCCTGTTTCCTAGATTTAAAAATCTGTTCATCGTTAGATTGATCAGCTTATAATACCTTTTGAGGAAAAGGTAATACATAAAAAGTGTATACAGAATAACTATTACAGACAACCTGACTTCATAAAAATTTTAAGACTGGTTTCTAGCACCTCTAAAATCAGGGACTACTTCTATGAGATTGCTTTGCAAACAAGCAATGACATTTCCCAATAGCTGCCATAATTTCCTTCTTCCCTCTCAAGCATTCTCACAAACACCTACCTTGCTGGGGTGAATGCCCACATGAACAGTTGTACCATTTGCCTTTTCCCGCTGTACTCGTTCAATGTAGATGACATATTTCTTTCTGTAAACCTGGACTACTTTGCCAATTTGCTGACCTTTGTAGTGTCCTCGCACAACCTAAATGCAAATTCAAAGGTAACAGAAATAAGCATTATAAAACATTCTTATAAATCAGCAAAACTATGAAACATGGAAAAATTATCCACTCTAACAGATCTCTAAGACCTTTCAGTTTTGAAAGACTTGTTAAATGGAAATGTGCTAATAATTCTCCCTGGATCTAATTAACGTGCCCCCATATAAATCTACAGCGATGGACAGTGCATCCATACAACAGATGGCCCACTAGTAGTGGTGGGCTTGTTAAATTAAAAAACAAGTCCATCTTGGCTTTTTGTAGCAAGGTGATAAGGAATCTGCTACTCCATCTCAAAGGAGAAACAGTTCACAAGTATTTAATTTACAACTCATTAAAGTGTCCAACCCACTGCCAAATAATGGGCAGCAGCAAGTACTTAAGGCAACAAACCAATTCTTTCCCAAGTGCTTCAAAACAGATGCTTCTTTCCAACTGCAGACTTTCTAGTATTAAGGTACCTTGAAAACAGAGAAGGCTGCTCCTCAAATCTATCAGCAATTTTAGCACCAGTACAACAGCACTCAACGGCTATTCTCAACCCACACCACTATTTGGGAACTGGTTTCATTTTACTTTAGTGGGTGTTAACCTCATAAAACACTACTGGTGACATGCAAGTCACTTTAGAGACCATCAGAATTCTTCCATCAATAGCTGTAGGTTACAGCTAAGGCATACAAGATTTTCACTTAAGTAGGTTTGACAAATCATTTACTGGTAAACTTAAAAACAATCACATGAAACTCTATTTGGATTTTGATTCACAGAATTGTTTACTGGTCCTCAAATGCCTCTTCAATGACCAAACATACCAAGAAAAAGGTAATTGCTATGTAACGTTCTGGTTCCAAACCATCTGTTTAATTAAGACTGCATGTGATGCTTGGGACAACTGCTTTTCACCTTGCAAAGAACTGAAAAGCAGCATACTTTCTCATCGGATTTTTAGTCCCTGGCTAAACTCCCTTGCAATCCGCTTTGGGGAGTAATGTCTCAGACACACCATCCTCAGAAGCAACACAAGCCCTCTCGTGCCGAAAAGTGCTGTATATGTGTCAAGAGGAACTGAACACACTACATACCTGCACTTCATCATCCTTTCGGATTGGCATGGATCGAACATTGTACTTCTGTCTCAGTTCTTTGGAAAGAGGGGAAGACATAATCTTCCTGCGAATGTGGGAAGGTGCATTGAAATGCCTTTTACGGTTCTTGCTCCGGTCAGAAGTCACAAAAGGATTGAACTTCATTTTTGGCTAAATAAAAAGTTAAAAGAAGTAAACACTTAAGTGAACCAAAATCTCATTCCGTTTTCAAACAAGTAACAGCAACACTTTCATCTTCAATGTTTAGAAGGGCACACAGGATCTATCATGTTCTCTAACTCCATCAGAAACTGCTTCCCCTGAAGAGCCTACCAACTGACGCTTGAAATTTAAGAAATGTTGCTTTACCGGTATGTTTCCTGTATTTGTTTATGGGATAAAGGATGTTGCATCAGCAACACACTTGTTACTGAAATTTTTGTTTACTCTCCAAACTCCTGAGATGCTGGATAAAGACAACAGGACTTCTCTGCTAAATGAAAGCAAAGAAGGCTGACAACTCTTCAAACGTTAACACGTTTTAGAAAAACCAACCAACGTTAATCTTCTACGGACTTGGGTGTAAACACATTTGGTCTGCTACAAAATCAGGCCCTCCACTCCGAACCTGGAAAATGCTACAGATCTCGGGCCCAAAAAGCCTTCCAATGGACGAGCGCGGTGTGAAGTTCTTCGGCTTTACTAGGAAGTTGTTTCTAAACTTTTCTTTAAAAAACCACACTGCCCAGTCTTGAATCCATCTCCACAGGACCCCTCCCCTCCATGTCCCGATACCGAGTTCCCAAACTCCTTTCCTCCTCCCTTCACCAACCCGGCGGCCCTTGAGCTAGGGCGAAACCAGATCGAGA